CTCCCCGTGGGGTCTGACCGCTCCCCTGTAGTGTCCGGCCACTCCCCCACGGTGTCCGGCCACCCCCTTGTGGGGTCCAACCCCGTCCGGTCGCTCCCCCACGTCCCACTCTCCCCGCCAGACTCCTGGGCTCGCCGCGGCAGTCCCTACTCCGCGCTGAGTTCCCCACAACCTGGGCAGGCTCTGCCTCCCTGAAGGTGACAGCCCTGACTCATGGAGATTGACTCGGTGTTCCCCACCGTCCCTGCTCCGCCAGCCCTGGGTGGCACGCCTTGGTCTCTCGGGGCATGTCCATCTCATCCCCTCTTCCAGTCCTTGAAGGCCACTGCTGGCTGCAGAGCTGCTCCAGAGATGGAAGGATGCTCAGAGTTTTGATGGAGAAATAAACCCCCAAAACTGCGTGGGAAAGCAGCCTGGGGGACCAGGCTGGCCAGTAACCCACTGTGCAGTTGAAATGAGGAAGCAGCACTGCCCCCTGAGCAGCCTCTGACCCCCTGCTTGGTACACTGGAACTGGGGGCTCGCGGGTAGAGAGATGGAGGGAACCCCACAGTGGTTTGCTCCGCCCTGGCTTCATGCCCTCTGCTCAAGGGCTGGGAAGCAGAAGTGGCTGCAGTGGTTACAAGTGTGTGATCTCGTGGGGGTTTGGGTCAGCCAGGGCAGAACAAGGCAAAAGAAAGCCTGGACTGGTCCGGCACCACTACAGGGCTGCTGGTGCCAGGCAGATCTGGCTCCTGCCTCCTGGGATTGGCCCAGGGAGGGTGGTGTGGAGGTACCATTGGTGTCTCCTGCTGTTGGCTTGGCCAAAGTTCTGCCTGGCCAAAGGTCCTCAGGGCAGCTGGGATCACGTCTGAGCTGCAAGCAAGGAGGGGATGACTGCATGCCATGGGATGTGTCCCTCACGGGAGACTCTGCTCCAAACCCCTTCTGCAGGGACCCCAGCGGGCGAGGAACCCTCCATGTGCTGGGGGTGGCTGTTCTCCAGCTCCGTGGGACCAGCTGGGAGTGCAGGGTGGGCTCATTTGTTTCCTCCACTCGGCTGAGCATTCGCCCGCAGCCACTCGGCCCTGAGAAAAGCAGCAGAGAGGAATCCCACGGCAGCCAGCGGCAGACACAGAGGAAAACCAGGGCAAGCATGTAGCGGTACGGCCCCAGGACGGGGGGAAGCTGTGTCACAGCCCTCCCCTTGGCAAGGGGGTTGTGAGCACACAAGTGTGTATGTTCCGGGAGGAGATAGAGGAGCACTTTTTGGGTATCCTGCCCTAAGTCAGGAAACAAAATCCAGCTCCAAGAGGTCTGGTTTGAGCACGGCACTGTGATAAGGAAGAAAAGCAGAAGGAAACAGCTGGAGCTGCTTTTGGGACCGGTAGACTCCGGCAGTGCCCGCAGGATGGCAGGGCACTGGCAGCACCATCGTGCCCCAGCTGCCTCCTCCTGCCCTTTGCATCTTGGCGTGATGCTAAGGGAGCTCAGGCTGGAGGGGGGAAAGAGAAAAGAGCCAACGTCTGTGTGTGTTGAAGCCATCCAGCATTTTTTGCAGACATCAGCCAAGCGGCAGCAGCAATGCCATTGGTGGGAAGACAGAGTTATTTGGGGAATGCTGGACTCCGCACCATGAGAACAGCAGGGGAGGAGGTTGGTTTTAATTTAACAGGCCATGTTTACTCTTCCCCTCTCACCTTTGGACTGTCTGAAATGTGCAATGAAAGCCCTGGCGGGGAGGAAGGGGCCATGGGTGCTTCCCCCTCCTCCCAGCTGCTTCCAGGGCCCCCCGGCCCCACTGCTCTGCAGTGCCTGTGTGCAGCAGCCTCCCACGTTGCAGACCCAGGGCAGGCATTTCTCACGCAATAAACAACCAGACAGATGCAAAGCCTCAAAAATGCCCAGCTTTAATCTGTAAACTTGCAGAGAGAAACTCAGCAGCAGAGCAGAGGTGAAGGAGGCACCAGGGCAGGTGAGAGACAGCAGCTCAGGCACAGGGCCAGGGAAGATGCTGACGGGGATGGATGTGCTGGACAGTCCCTGACTCCTACGTGCAGCAGTGCCATGCCCTCTGCAGCTGCTCTCCGCATCAGTGCTTCAGCTACAGAACCAAATATTCGCTGTCTGACTGCCCTGGTAGTGCTCAGGGGAGCAGGCAGTGTGCTGGAGGGGTCTGCAGGGCCAGGCTGAGCACCAAGGATGTGCAGCAATGTGGAATTACAGCCTTGTCCCTGTGCCCTGTCAGTGCCCAACAGAGCAGTGTTTGCTGGATGAATGAATGCTCTTCAGAAAGTGGGTTCCAGCTGCTATTTGCCAGTGGCAGGAAGGAACAGTTGTATTACACGGGCAGCGATGGGAGACAAACTCAGCCCAGCCTGGGAGCTGGCAGGGTTGGAGCATCACCCCAGGCACCTCCACCTCACCAGCTCCAGCCTGCAGGAGGCCAGAGATGGTTTAAGCTGGAGGGATTGAAAAGGATCTTTCTTGTTAAAAAAAAAATAAACTAGTTCTCTAATTCCTCTGGCTACAAGATGGGGAAAATAAAGTTGTTTCCAAATTGCTGTGTGTACTAAAAGTGCCCCAAGCATCGCTCAGGCGCTCCCAGGAGAGTTTTATTTCCCACACCAGCTGTGTGGGCACGGAGCAGGTTTGTCCGGACCCTTCCCCACCCCAGCCCTTCCCTGGAGCAGAGCTGGGATACCATGGGGACATCACTGCCCTCACGGTGGCAGGAGGATAAAAGCCAGTGGCAGCAATCAACTGCAGCAGTGAGGAGCCACAGCTGAGTGTGGGCGCTGGGGCGTGGGGCAGCCTGGGGGGCAGAGCTGAGAATCCTTGGAGGG